ACCTCTTTTGAGCCATAGACAGAACCCTTCTCCGCTCTTCTTCTTATAGAACGAACTCAAAAACTCTCTGACGATTTGGCCTGTGTTTCTGTGCCTAGATACACAAGTGTCCTTTTGGATTATCCTAGACTGGATTTCCTGTAACCTAGGTATAGGGTGGAAATATCAGTTTGGAAAGTAAACATACCCGATCCATAAGGAATCTGGTTTTCCACCATCACCCTAATATACCCCAATAATCGAACGGATATTCTCGTCTGGTGGAAATGGTAGAATCAATGTACGATTTGACCACCAAGTTCATGAAACTGGACAAGTTTGGAGGCAATGATTTCAGGTGCTGGTATAAGAAGATGTTATTCATGCTGACCACACTGAAGGTTGCGTATGTCCTGAGTACTCAAAGGCCAAAAGTGGTGAAGAACGAGACATTAGAAGAAACCATGAGGAGGAGCAAGTGGGAAAACGATGACTACATCTGTAGAGGTTGCATTTTGAATGGTATGGCTGATTCTTTATTCGATATCCATAGTGAGGCAAAAATACAAAGGAGTTGTGGGACACTCTTGAGTCAAAATACATGGTCGAGGATGCTTCTAGCAGGAAGATTCTGGTCACTGATTTTAATAACTATAAAATGATTGAGTCAAGATCTTTCATGGAACAATACAACGAAATCCTTTGCATTTTGGGTCAATTCAAACTACATAACATGAATATGGATGAAACCGTTGTTGTGCCAAGTGTAATTGGCAAACTTTCACCATCGTGGAAAGACTTCAAACATAATCTAAAACATTAAAATGTGGAAATTGTTTATGGTTCAACTTAGTAGTCATTCGCGCATTGAAGAATCCCTTCGTGTGCAAGAGAGTGACAAAAAAACAAAGAAAAAGTTGGATATGGACAACCCTCGGTTCATGAGGTTGAAAACAAACCAAGAAATCCGAACAACAAAGGACATGGAAAATGCAATTAATAATATATCCCAAATAATTCCAACAAAAAGAAAAAGGAACTGGTTTGTTGGAGGTGCTTCAAAGTGGGACATTAGAAGTGTGATTGTCATGTGAATTTTCACTACTAGAAATACAGGCTTCAACGACAGAAATATCAGTCGGAAATCCGTCGCTAAAGACCTTCAGCGACCGATCAGCGACATAATGAGTCCACCAGTAAAAGCTTTGTCGCTGAAGGTTAGCGACAGAATCAACGACGAATTTTTTTTGTTAGCGACAGATTATCTTGTCACAGAATGTTCTTGAAAAAGTTAATGTCCATTGTAAATCTGTCGTTGATGATATAATAACAACGGTTTAACAACCAATTATGATGTCGCAAAAAATTCCTAGCACTGTTCAGATCCGTCGCTGAATTGTTTATATGATATAATAACCGATTATTTGTCACTATTCCATAATCAAAATCAAATGCTATGTTACAAAGCTAAATAAGACATTCATATTCGATTTCAAAACAATAAATTCCACTACCAAAATGAACATTAACATTTGATTTCAAAACATTAAAATTCGACTACCAAAATGAACATTAATATTTGATTTCAAAACACTAAAATTTGACTACCAAAATAAATATTCATACTCGATTTCAAAGTATCAAAACCAAGTCACAAAAGTTAAAAGTGCCAACGTCTAATTAGTACTATTTCCTTGGGCGAGCTTTAGTATTTCGTTATACATCTTCGCAATTTCTTGTTTTTGTGCCTCCATTTTTGCACGTTCGGCCAAAAGCTCTTGCTTCATTTCTTCATGTTCCGACTTAAGTTCTTCCTTCATCTCTTCACGGATTCGATCCATGATGACCTACAAAGTAAATTAACAAATATAAAGTTAAGTGACATGAATAACACTAATAAGTACAAAAATAAATAAAATAACAACTAAATACAAACAACACCAACAAGAACAACACTTTCAAGATGATCCAACCAACAATAGCATTGTACTTTCAAGAAGGAAAACAGGTCAATATTATACTTTCAAGATGAACCAACCAAGAATAGCATTGTACTTTCAAGAAGTAAAATAGAAAAACAAACCAACATCAAGATGAACCAAGAATAACATTATACTTTCAAGGAGGAAAACATTAAAACAAGACAACAGGTGATGATGAAAATATGACAACATTGTACTTTCAATATAAACCAACCAATAACAACATTGTATTTTCAAGGAGGAAAATATGAAAACAGGTGAACATTGTACTTTCAAGTATGAAAACAGAAAACCAGGAAAATAAAATAACAGGTCAGCGAAAGAGAATAAACAAACCTCTAAGTTGTCTGAAGATGTACTTGGAGCTGCTAAAGAAGGCATCAAAAACCTTTCTGGATCAGACACAGAACCAAATCCAAGAACTCTTCCTTTCTTGATCCCTCCACTAGCTTCAATCCATAGTTCATGATCATAAGGGGGACGACTATCACTGTCATCACCATATCTAGCCACCATAACGTCCTTATATGCATTCTATATTATCACAAACCAATTAGTATATATTAAAAGTAAATATATATCATCAAAGAATAATTAATTTATTTATTAAGGATTCAACAAATACCACAACTATTCCGGCTTTAGGTGTAATGTACTTGGTATTTGAAGTGCCTTCTTTTGGTTGTTTAGTTCGGTGTGTTTTTTCAAAAAGTTCAAGTTGAGTAGGTGGGCGTTTAAGCTTTAATTCCTACAAATTTTCAAGAAATGAGACACATACCACCAAACAAAGCTAACACATTTTACAAAATATCATACCAATATATCTCTATGATGTGAAATCGGGATAGAACCGCAACAGTGTTTGGAAATTGAACCATATTCCATTTTGTTTCTATTTTCCTTTGCAGAATTTGACTTTTGTTTCCATTTTTCCGTGTTCCAAACTTTATCAATAATTTCTTCCCAATATTCTGATCTTATCCATTCCGGGCGAAACGGCTTTAGAATGGTTAAATTACCTTCTAATGATACATTGACACTTTTAGCCTTTGCAAGTTTGACAGATTCATCTCGTGCATTTTTTAAAGTGTCAGAAAAACGCCTTTTCATGACATTCTCCCATGCAACTTTAATAACTTGATCAGTGTACTTAGCTTCCCATTGATATAATTCCTACACAAATCACAATCATACAATTATCCATATCCTATACAACAAGATCTAGTATTTTAAATTTGGAAACATTACTATGTTCAAACCTTAAAGTGCTGCCAAAGTGCCTCACGGTTAATCAAGTCAACATTTCTCCATGAGCTCCATGGGCCATTAAACATCGACTTCAATGTAGAAGTGACTGCCCGGATAGCTTCAGGACTTGTAAATCTAGAAAAAAAATAACACCAATACAGTTAGTATCATACTTAACATATAACTTTGTTTGAATATATATTATATATACATACTGTCCAGCAACATTGAGGCTAATCATCTTCCTAGATGACGGGTCAATAGGAATTTGCTCCAACACATTTGATCCTTTAACCCTTTGAGATGAATCAGCAGATTGATCAGTAGAATTAGATCCCAGACTTGGTGTACCATGCATGTTTGTTTGTTGTATTGGAAAATAATCATTGGTTGACTGAGGGTTGTTTATATCTCTGCAAAAACTACTACGAGCACCACCACGAGCACTATCACGAACACCACGCCGCGCCATATGAAGCACTGAAACAAAAAAAAAAGATTTGCTTTAGTAACCATTGGCCATGCATCAAAATCATTCAAATTTAACAGGTGTTTGCAAAATACATATGGATACATCACATAACATATAAGTTTCCAAAATTAACATTGTTCCAAAATACATAATTTCATTCATCAGAATCATTCAAGTTATCATCAAATTCTTCTTCCTCATCTGTGTTATCATCAAATTCTTCTTCATCAGCCGAACCATCTGAATTATCATCAAATTCTTCTTCCTCTTCGCTCACTTCTATATATGTAATGACGGGGTCATTATCAATAACTTCTTCTGGTTCTCCTTCACTGACAAAACATATAGGTTCTTCTGCCTCATCTTCACTACTACTTCTGGTATCTATTAATTCTCCACTATCTTGAAAGAATTGCTCCTCCTCCTCATCATCATTCGCTTCTTCACTAGCTGGTTCTGGTAGTTCATATATGCTACGTGGCTTCGTTTTGACAACAACCCACCAAGCTTTCAAATCATTTGTCATTGAAGGATATGGTGCATAATACACTTGAGTAGCTTGGGACGCTAGGATAAAATGATCATTGTTCCTTAGCCTTGACTTGTATTTAACATCAACCAAATTATGTTTACTATTGATGTTAATCCCTTTGTCAGCATCAAACCAAGTGCACTTGAATAACACAACAACACAACGCCTTACAACTTGATATTGTACTTCTAGGACCTCATCCAATAATCCATAGTAGTCACACTCATTCTCATCGTAACAAGACCCTTTCACACATACCCCGCTATTATGTGTGACTCGACCATCGCCATATTTTTTGGTGTGGAACTTATAACCATTAACAAAATAGCCCTTATGTTCTAAAACATGACGTAATGGTCCTCGTGCAAGGCCTTTTAGATTCTGATTAACATCATATGATTCTTGAGAAACCTAAAATGAAATAGATAATCATTAAATGAACCACATGTATACTAGATACCATTTAATAGAAGTTTTCATGCAATACTCACATGTGTTTTGAACCACTCGGCAAAATGTTGATCCCTAAACCTTGCTAGGGTTCCTTGATCCATATGTGGTTGTCCTTGGCTTGCAAAATGTTCAAACTCCCTTCACAAATAAGAAATCACATTTTTAATATATGTTATGTATATGTGTGTATATAAAAAATATTATGTATGTTATTTATGTTTTATATATTTGGATAGATTTTCCCCTGAACAAGAAATTTGATCCTGATAAGTCTCAAAATGTTTAAATTTTAAATGGTTTTTCAATTGATTGTTAAACTGTTTGGAGAGCTTGACATTAATGATTATATTATCAAATTAGATCATTATTATACTTCTATTGGACTTCTTGTATGTTTTGGGGCTGTTCTTTGTATGTTTTGTATGCCCTCTATTTTTCGGACAGATTTGCCCCTGGACAGATTTACACCTGAACAAGAACTAACCATTTAATTTTTAAAAATTAAGATAAACATGTAATTTTTGTAATATATGTTATGTATATGTATGTATGTAAAAAGTATTATGTATGTTATTTATGTTTTATATATTTGGACAGATTTGCCCCTGAACAAGAAATTTTGTCCTGATAACAAAAGGATTAAATTTTAGATGGTTTCTCATTTTCCTGATTTTATTTGTTTCAGGTCTTTGATTATATTGTTGTTTTAGTCTGTTCATAATGTGATGATCATATAGTTGATTATATTGCTAATTTCATTTGTCTCATCTGTTGATTTCATTTGTCTCATCTGCTGATTTCATTTGATTACTGCTGAATAAGGTTTTTATGTTTTGAATCAAATTGTCAATAGATTGAAAATGATTCAAACTTTTGTCATCAAATTGGAATGGACTCAAACGTTACTGTTGGAATGGATTGAAAGTATTAAATGTTAAAACTGATTGGAAATGATATTGTCGTAAGATTGTTGATTCCATTTGTATCTGATTGGAATGGATTCAAAAGTTTCACTGTTAAAAAACGTAAATATTCAAGGTGATAATGAAAATTGGTGTTCAACGTTATATAAAAAAAATTAGACAAAAAGAAATTGATATTTTTACATAAGAAAAAAAAAGAAATTGATAAATTAAGAAGAAAAACAAACAATTCGTTTCTCTCTCTTTATATATTTTTGGTAATTGAAAAACATTTTTTTCTTATATCTTTGTCGATTAAAAGAAGGGGCATAAAAGAAAAACAAACTATCGTTTTATGTTTTTAAATTAGGACTATCATATTCTAATTTTTTTTAACGTTTTTTTTCATGTAATGTTTTTTTTTAAATGTTATGTCTAAACTAGGATTTATTTAAATGGATTCTTATATGTTTGTTTTTATAATTATTACCCGTGAGTTTCCCATATTACAAAACAATACAAATTCATCTTGTGTACGAACATAATATGGATCTGCTGTGAACTGAAATAGCGGCTTCTTTCCAGGGTATCTATGCACCAACACATCTGTTTACCTTTTAATCTATAAAAGTAAAAATGTAATATAAACATATTAAAAGCCAACCATCATCAAGTAGCATATGCATACATTAGAAAAGATTAAAACTTCACAAGACCTGCAACAAAGTTCTACATTTGGAAAATGCAGACCCTTAACTTTTATCAGAGAAACTGAGAATGGGGTTGCGAAGAAGTGAGTCAATTTTCAATGTCGAGCAGACCAACAGAAAAACGAAAACAAGAACCGAAATCGCTGATAAAACAAGTGCCAATCCGTTGGCTGCCATCCCCTTCGCCTCTTGAGAGTATTTCGTGGAGGCCAGTGCAAGGAAGGACAACGGGAAGGAGAAGGCCCACCATGCTACACTGAAGCTTTTCATCGATTTCTTGAATAGAGCTGGTCGACTAGCCTGTTTTCATCAAAAAGTCGGACATAAATCAAGCGTCAAATATTTTAGTATAAAATCATAAATTAAAGTATTTGTCTTCTTAAAATTAGAGTAAGTTAGAAAAGTAGTCCCTTGATCAATTCCTTCTGCGAAATAGCCATTTGTTATGTCGTTTCACAGTTTTTCTTGGTGCATGTTTTTATTATTAGATTAGTTCTATGGTATCAAGAACGAGTACGTACCAATGATGCAAAGAGAAATAAGGATAGAAAGAAGAGCATCTTGCAAAGGATATCAAAGTTCCCAGTAATCGATTTCCATGCTAAGGCCGCCATACTCGGGGTGGCGACGAACAGGAAGAAGACGGGTCTGAGTCGAGAGGGGAGGTGATTATTTCCCGATAATCGCTGGTAAAGGGTGATAAATACCACCAAATAATGTGTCATCCCTAACGTAAATAAGCAAATACCACTCTCTGTCCATCCCATTTTAATGGCAGCATGGGCTCCAACCAAGTTCCCGATAACGGATAACTGGCTTGTAGGGTTAGCAACCATCGAAAGAAACCTTTTTTCCGTCGTGAACCACTGCCCATATATCTTAACGTCAAGAGCAATGACAGGGATGATAAGGGGCCACCATACATATTCGTAAGAGTATTTATTTGGAAATATGAATGATGGCGCTGAGCGAAGTAACAAAAGTGATGATATCCAAGGTGCAAAGAGGTAATTTACTCCAACATGGTGATGGTATTCGGCTTTCACCATGTTGAAGTGGAAAATGCACCGGAGAACATAGAGAACGGAGAGAGATATGAACACGCATAACGCAAGGCACCATATGAGGAAGTACGCGGTCGAAGGTAACTTAGTGAACAAATTATCGATTGTTGGTGAAATATCTGCTTGTTCACTTAGGTTTTTCCATAACAAAGCTTGACCACCAAGGGACATGCAAATCCTAAAGTACCCTGCATTGATCCTCGCTATAATGGCTTGTTGTGATCGTTTTGTGGGGATTTCGTGGTTTCTAACAGTCGATTGCTTCGTGGATCGTTCTTGATGTTTGATGGTTGAAGAGTCGATAATGACCTCCAATCCTATTTCGGGATTCACCATTGATGGACACGAGGCAGGTTGTAAGGTTTCTGAAGATAAAGTGCAGAGGGTTTGAAGGTTTATAACGATGGCGATGTCTTGTGTTTAGAATGTTTGCTTTATATAAGAGAATCGAGTTTGGTAATAGAACGAGACAAAATTGGACGTAAGAAAGATTCGGGTTAGTAGTGCAATCGCCCACTTGATACCAGCCAAAAGCAAAACCACTTTCATCCACTTTCATCCCCCCCCCC